GGGGGGGGTCTTTCTAGCGAGCAGGGCTAGACTCACCCTCAGGGGACCGATACCTTCTTGTTGCGGCGCACCCGCCGCGAGGCGTGCGTAGTGGTGGAGTTGGGTCGGCACTGGTGCGTCAGGTACAAACGTGCAGATGCGCGGGCCTCCAGGCCGTCGGTGTAGGCAGCAATGCCCATCTCATCTTTGTGCGCGGAGGCAGACGTGATCAGGAAGGTGGACGGGCACTATGTACACGGCCCTAGGTTTGCTATTTAGAGGGAGCTGTACAGTCTCAGGAACCTGGTTTTGCCATCAAAGGAGGAGGGGACAGGTTGGTGACGAGCTGATTGGGCTGGTTGACCCTTCGGCGCGAGAATTTTTAGACCAAGGACCCTAAGTGCAACGAGGGAGAAAGCGAGGAACCGACTGGGATGGACAGCAACGAGAGCGTGTACGAAGCGGAGCGGGTCGAGTTTGGTCGTGCTAGGACTGGCCACAGTGGCATCGGAGCAGCGGCACCGGAGGAGCGGAACCGGAGCAGGCGGAAATCGAACCGTGGCGCACGGACAAACATCTCTCGTGTTGTCAATTATTTTCCGTTTTTTTCCTGAATACAGGTGTTGGGTGTGTGTGATGACGTCACTGGTTTTGTAGAGAGACGCGGCAGAGATGGCGCGGATAACCCGGGTGCCTTAATTGTGTACCTGCATCGTGGAAGACCCCTCCAATGTGGAACGATTCCTAGTCAGTGTCGATGTTTACACTGCTGTGCCTAACACAGATGATCTGGATAGATTCGGGTGATTGTCAATTGCAATGATGGCTTTGGGCGTTCTTCTTCATTGTATGTCCACGGGATCATTCTGACAGCACTTCAGACAGCAGCTGCATGCCCCGAGCTTGTGTACCATGCACCATGGTGTTATTATTACCATGCACCATGGTGTTATTATTGTACAGACAGCACTTCAGACAGCAGAACGCTGTAGTCGACAAACATTCATTTCGGTTAAATGCGGGACAAGGGGGGTGATGCTGCTGCTGTAGTCGAATTGTAGTGTGTGGGCGTGTAGTTCAGTTGTGAGCACGCGAACGTGCTGCAGGGATTGCAGGTGTACCTCCTCGGGCTTGTGTACCCTTTCCTTGCTATAGTGTGTGTGTTCTTCAGATCTTCTGATGGCTCTGGCATTTTTGTGACCACGGACCGAATCTTTGCTAGATTTTGGGACAAGCAACTGACACGAGTTAATGTGAACAAAAACAACAACAAAAATAGCAAGGACCTGCACTGTTCAAGCTGCACTATAGCGGGCACCTGCACTATTCAACCTGCACTATAGAGGGCACCTGCACTATTCGACCTGCACAATAGCGGGCACCTGCACTATTCAACCTGCACTATAGCGGGCATCTGCACTATTCAACCTGCACTACAGCGGGCACCTGCACTATTCAAGCTGCTCAATAGAGGGCACCTGCACTATTCAACCTGCACTATAGCGGGCATCTGCACTATTCAACCTGCACTACAGCGGGCACCTGCACTATTCAAGCTGCTCAATAGAGGGCACCTGCACTATTCAACCTGCACTATAGCGGGCATCTGCACTATTCAACCTGCACTACAGCGGGCACCTGCACTATTCAAGCTGCTCAATAGAGGGCACCTGCACTATTCAACCTGCACTATAGCGGGCATCTGCACTATTCAGCCTGCACTATAGCGGGCACCTGCACTATTCAAGCTGCACTATAGCGGGCACCTGCACTATTCAAGCTGTACAATAGCGGGCACCTGCACTATTCAACCTGCACTATAGCGCGCATCCGCACTATTCAAGCTGTACAATAGCAGGTACCTGCACTGTTCAACCTGCACTATAGCGGGCACCTGCACTATTCAAGCTTCACTATAGAGGGCCCAGCACTCTAATCGGAAAACAAACAGATGTAGCAAGCTCAAGAAGCAGTCGCAACAAGACAACAACATACAGTACTGGGCCCTCTATAGTGCAGGTGCCCGCTATAGTGCAGGTAAGATTTCTGGACACACCCCTGCACTATAGAGGGCCCGGTACTGTATGTCGTTGCCTCGTTGCGACTGGTGCTTGAGCCTGTCACATCTGTTTGTTTTCCGATGTTGTGTCGCTTTGGGTGTGGTGGTGCTGGCGCTTCATAGCTGTTGGCTGTTTTGTAGTGTTGGTTGTTTTGGTGTTGTCTAGATCTAATAGTGTTCGCGCTCAACGAACCTTCCGCTAGTAAGTGCTTTCACGCACGTCTCCACCTCGTTCTTCAAGTCGATTTTGATTTTCCAGGGGGCACCGCAGAATCGAATGGCAGCGTATGGTACCCGTCGGGAGCGAGCAGTCACCACCAGAGTTGGTGCCCGTGAAGCAAGAACAGTTTTGGCACTTTCATCGTCGTGTGGGTGCTCTCGATCGTTCATATAAAAGGACCCCTTTTCAGAGTTCAGTTTTTTTTTTTTTTTGACGAAAACGCAATGATCACTTCCATCCACAAGTTAGGGTCCGGAATAATTAGCAAATGAGAGTTTCGAAACTCTGCCCTGCACCGACTTAAGTCTCGTATGTTATTATTACTTTTTTGTGTTTTTTCAATTCAACACTATGCATGCTGCTCGTTATGCGTTTGTGCGATGCCTGACGGGCAGGGCAATCTTTGTGAGGTGCACCAGGCTCAAGCGCACCCATCAATCCGCGCAGAACATGCTTGAGGGCCTCGGTTTGAGGGACGGCGTCGACCTCTACGTACGGTGAGCGTGGGGTCGAGATAGGTCTTTGACTTTGCTACTACGGCGAGGGCGGGGGAAGGGTGGTGGGGGGGTTGTGTCACATGTTGGATTTTGTTGGCGACGACGTTGGGTGAGGGACCCTTCAGAACTGTTGACGGTGGGTTGGTGAGGGTGAGGGGAAACTGGCGTCAGTGTAATAATGAGTGTTTTCCAAGCAGCGTTTTTTTGCTCGCAGCACATTCATCGGATGCTCATGATGTCGTGTTGTCATCGGTGTGGTAAATCTCGTGCCGTATTTTCGGTTTCTGCTCGTACGGCTTCCGTAGGTTGCTGCTTCTGCCGCTGCTGCTTCCACTGCTGCTTCCACTGTTGCTGCTGCTGCTGCTGCTGCTGCTTCTGCTGCCGCCGCCGCCGCCGCCGCCGCCGCTGCTGCTGCGTTCCACAATGATGACACATGATCGATTATTGCAATCCTGCCAGGCCTCCCGAGAGGGAAACCCTCTGGCCCAGCAAGCGCAACCGTCGGAAGCAGGACCGCCTCATCGCGAGAGCAATCGCGGAAAGCACGTTCCCCGGCCAGGCCGAGCTCAAAACCAAGACCGCCGAGGTACCCGCAGGTAGACAGCCAGCCAGCCAGACAAGCAGACAGACAGACAGACAGACAATCTTGATTGACGACCACCGACCATGCATGTACCCGCCCCCCTGCCGCCCCCAACACCGCAACAACATCCCAACCTCGTTGGAAACCTATCTATGCCTACGTATCCCCGCGGGTGTGCTGCTGCTGCGTGTGTCGCTCGGGCGTGGATGGTCATGCGTGAACGTGCCGTCGCAGATGGTTGGCGTGCCTGAGGACGATGTGAAGTGGACGACGGTGCGGGAGGTGTTGTCTTGCTACGAGGCACATGGGGTGGCTCTTCCGGCCGGGGTGCGTATCGGCGTACATCTCGCCACCGCTTTCGCTTAAGAACCCAGGGAGTTGACAAAACGGAAGATGTTCTGGTGGCTCGAAAATATAAATTTCGACACATAAAAGAGCAATTGTGCTGCCTCCGCCATGGGAGGAATCGGGACCGAGCCTGTGGTACAAAGAGACCTACATGCAGCAGATTGAGTCAATAAATAGGGACACGCCACGCAAGGCAGCAGCAATGCTGGCTAAACGGGTAGCGTTGATTGCCGTATGTTTCTGTATTGTGTAACGTAACCCGGAATTTAACACCCCTTAAATACAAATGGATAGACTCCGCGCACGTGCTCGTTTCATTCAATGGTCACGATTTGTTCCGCCCAGCATGCCATTTAGAAGTGTTGTGCAGCCTTGCAAGGTTAAGGTTTGGTTTTTGCGAAGGAGGCGTCGGCCGCTGCGGCAGCCGAAGCAAAAAGTGAACCTGTTTTCTCGTGGTTGTGGACCTTTTTTGGTGTTCTTGTCAACTTTTCTCACGAAACAACCCTGTAGTAGGTTTCTATTTTGTTCATCAAGAATTTTGGTGTGAAGCAATTGTGTGGCTCTCTGTGTTTTTCGGCGGCAGGACTACACTCAGTCTTCCCTTTTTTTCCCATCGTTTCCCGCCCCCCCTCCCCGGACGCTTGTTCCCAGGCCATAAGCTCGGGCCTTGTCGAGGGAGTGGTGGACTACACCGGATGGATGTGGGGCAGATGGTTCGAGCAGCGCGAGATGACTCGCCTGAGCCTGGGTCCGTTTTTGGCAGAGGTATGCATACAGCTCTTCTACCTATTTTTGTTTTTGACGTGTGTGCGTGCTCACCACATGCTACGTTTTTCTCGTTCGCGGCTTCCTTTCCTGTGATTCGCCGGGGAGGCCGCGAGAGAGAAGAGAAGGAAGGCTCCATCGTGACAGCGAGAGAGAAGAAATGCTGAGTTTGTGTTTCTTCCTCTTTGTGGGCGCTTTGTCTGCTGGGATTTTTTTCAGATTTGGAGAAAGTAGGACACAAGCGTTTGCTGTGCGGGCGACAAAAAAAAGCACAAGATTTAAGGACAGCAAAGGGTGCCGCACGCGGCGAATTCGCCCCTGCCTGATAAATATATGCGTACGTCATTAGCAAAGGGTGCACACAGCTAAAAAACAGAAGGACAATTTTCATTTTTGTTTTTTTCGTCACCACCACGTGACGACAACCCTTGTTGCCTAGTCATTGGTCAACCCATTCGGTGGGGCAAATACCACTGAAAAGAGTAGCTGCACAGCAGTCGGTGTATATAGGGAAACGCACACGTTCTCGAACGCGCTGCTGTTGCAGGTCTTCGGTCTATATTCACGACCATTACCGCCCCAACCGGCCAACCACCCCCCGCGCCGCCGAATATGTTTTGTTACTGTTCCCGGCGCAGCTACTGACCCTAGTGGGAGCAAGGGGACACGAGACCGGCGTCCCCGAAGCGGGCATGCCTTCCACGCCCAAGCTCGCCATCTTTTCCGGTACGCACACACATACCGTTTTTTTTTTCTTTTACTACAGTCTCGCCGTTTTTTTTTCCGGGAACACACCCAGCAGCTCTTTTTGTTCACGCATACATGTTGCGTCGTCATATTTATATTCCACAAAGGGTTGTTTTCCGAACCCTCCCACCACGAAGAGTATTTTCTTTCAACATCTCTCGTCTTGAATTCGCCTATTCCCCCCTCTGTCTACTTGTCTCCTTCCGGACTCGCTTGCGTGCTACTACAGTATGTTTCGATTTTGTGTAACTCTTGGCCGCGTGATCGTTGTTTTCATTTTTTTTTTCTGGCGAAGGCCACGACTCTACGCTGGTGCCGATACTGACCGCTCTCAAGATCTACGATGACGTGTGGCCGCCGTATGCAAGGTAAAGAGAAAGGAAAAACTAGACGGGGAGGAAGTAAGTCGAAGAGGCAAGACCCTTCTCGCTCGCAATGTATTGGTGCACATCTTCACTTGTCAAATGCTTGTGCACCTCCCACTAGGCTGTTTCTATTTTTTGCGCGGCCTGACAAAAAATTGAGTCTAGTCTTGATTTTGAAGCGCACGAACGCATGCCATGTGCGTCTGTAAAGAGGGATTTCAAGGGTTTGCGTTTAGCCTTCTTGGGGTTCGGTTTCCGTTACATAATCCTTACAATCAATTTCTCGACAGGCACAGCACACAGCGATGTGTTGAGAAACCACTGAGTAGTGGCATGGTCGCAAACCACCGGTCCGTTTTGTTGAAACGGGGAAGACAATTGAAACAGGCGGCAATCCCCCCCCCCCACTCGCACCTCGCCCCCCCCTCGGTGTTTGCCATCGGGGTTGGGTTTTCGTCGCTTGGCAACGCGTTGTAAAACAAGCCAATCCACTTCGTGAGCTCGGCAACCAGGTTACCGGTTTTTTTTTTGCGGTAACCATAATGGTGGTCGAGTAGATCATGTTGTGCGGGGTGAAGAAGCTTCACGCCGCGCAAGGGGGATGATCGCACCACGTTGTGTTAAAATGGTCAAGCACCCTCGAGGCAGTTACACAGTGCTTACAGAACTGTCTCAGGAAGTGAAAGCACCAGAAAATAAATTAAGTCATACGCAGCTGTCATCTGTACGCAAGGGAGTAAGCACAAGATGCCGAACACCGTTGGCAGGATGCAGCGCACCCTTCATGCGGCTCGCCGAATATCTCACGGCGCTTCGCGCTTGGTGATGTGAGAGCCTGGTCCGGTGAGAACCCGGCGTGCTCCGTCCCGGCTTTGTAGGGATGCGAGG